GTATTTTTATCATCGACTGAAGGGTGTTGGCAAAAATAATGGGTTTGTACTCCTTCCTCTCTTCTTCTCTGTAACCTTCACCATGGATTATTTTCATCTGTTTTAAAACTGTCGACTTCCCACATTCACCAGCACCAAGAAGAAGTAGTTTGACCTCTTTCATTGATTTTTCTGCATCCTGTCTTATTTGCTTCTCTATAGCCCTACTCTTGTCCTGCTGAACTTTAGCTGGTTCACTCCATGCACATCCCATGTCAGATATATGAGCAAATAACCAAACTAAAAGCAGTTTGGATATATAGAGTCCACTAGCATGAAATTGAGAAGGAAGTAAACGAATGTTCGGTATACCGTATATATAGAGTATCCAACATGAACTAGCCAATTATTGAGGATGATCACTACGAAGTCAGTACGAATACTCTAGGTTTGAAACACGAATATATATGCTGAAATATTTTTATTTATTACTTTATTTGAAGCCTGAAAAACGCCCAGGTAAAAATCGCGTATTTTGAAATTCATCAAGTTTATAGAAAGAAAGTGTTTAAATGGATGAGTCTTAACGCCACAAACTTTAAATTTACTTGGGCATGGCTGAACAGGTTAGTAACAGATCTGAGTAATTGGTTATTTCCAGCGAGAAAACGCATTTCAAAAGCAAGAAGTGAAAGGAAAAAATGGTGGGAGATATTACAAGAGCATAGGTCTTGGATACAAAACTCCGAAAGAAGCTATATTCGGCAGTTACATCGACAAGAAGTGTCCCTTCACTGGAAATGTACGTATCCGTGGTCGAATCCTCACGGGTGTTGTGCGTAAAACTAAGATGAATCGGACTATTGTTATTCGCCGAGACTACCTTAAGTACGTGAAAAAGTACAACCGATATGAGAAGCGACATAAGAATATGTCTGTACATATATCTCCTTGCTTCAGGTAAGTTCACCGCGCGTTTGTTTACACTTGCAGAGATGTGGATATTGGAGATGTCGTAACTGTTGGTGAGTGTAGACCCCTGAGTAAGACAGTATCATTCAATGTCATCAAGGTTTCGAAAGCCGCTGGTTCAAAGTACAAAAAGGCATTCCAAAAGTTTTAATGTCTAAAATAAACGTATAGGTTTACCAAAGATCTTGGTTTTCCTTTCGTTTCTGGTGTAATTGACTAGTTTGCTTTGAGTTGGTGCTTACCATTTCCGTTTATTATATAGGTTTCATAAGTTCTGGGCGAATTGATGTTTTGTGAGCCAACTAAAAAGCCTACTGTCCTGAGCATTTCGTAACTGTAATAGTAGCTTAATACGTTCCTGCAATGCTCTAGTTGGACGTGGCTCTATTCATGCTTCCCTGAAGCTTTTACCTATTTCTAGCACTATTCGTATTCACATGGAGCTACCAATATAAACACCAGCTGGTTTTTCAATGGCTGATTAGATCTGCTTGCCCGGCTTCCTATTGGGTATGTGTGAAGTTCCTCGTCAATTACCGTGACACAATACTCTAATATTTGTTATGTGAACTGCTAGTTTATAACATACGGGATTTTTAAGATATAGCGTAATGTACTTCGTGGAAAAAACAAGCATTAGTTCCTATATCCATATGCTCTCTATACTAATGACCTGGCCGACTTCAATTTGATAGAAAAAATGGGCGGATTAGTTGCATTTCTTGTCTCATTCCATCTAATCTGTCTCAGGATTTAAGACGGTAATTAAACGTAACAGTCAAAGTTGCTACGGATTTTACCAAGTAGAATTAGCCAAGTTAATATATAAAACACTTCCTACCTCTACAGGCTCAAAACCAAGCATAACTCGGCTTAGGATTATGCATCTTTTCTCAAAAGTGTTATTGTCATATGCTGATGTCATATTTTGGCCTAAACAAAATAACATTAACATCTGGACTGTATGAGTGTCTAGTCATGTTAAATCCATTTGTGAATACTTTCACTGTTACCAAGGAACCTGCAAGCTTTATTTCTGGTTAGAATCCCTGTAGCTGAATTAACCATTATAAATGTGCAAGGTAGACATTTGTAGTCCGAATAGAGTTTAATACTGTCTGATGTATCTTAATAATGTTCGAATACATCCTATTCACAGCCCCCAGGCGCATTACAACCCGTTGTTTGAAAGTCAAAATAGGTTAGAGAAGGGATTTAAAAGGAGTGATTGGTGAGTGTGGATATACATTCATATCAGTATAGTAGTTTCACATGCATATAACACCATCTTTCCAGTGTCTAATGTTTTGTTAGAATACATTTGCCTTATATTTGACCTGCTTCCCTCGATTGCCGTTATTAAAACATGTATATAACACCCTTTTTAGTACGGAGCATGTCTTTACTTCTTGAGGCTCATCGGTTTGGGCGGATGTTTTTGAAAAACAACTGAAACTATTTACATAGGCACTCTATCCAATACAATGTTTCTTATGCGGATAGCTTATGCGTTCTGTAAATTCTTATTAAGAAACATTGAGATGTAACGACTTTCCTTGTGAAGGAATAGATGGGATTACGAGCACGATTCTCTGATATTTTCTTGCTAGTATCTCGTTAATAAACGGAGAATTTCAATACAACGTATATAAATGAAATAAAAGTCTAGACAGGTACATTATTTTGCCTTAAAATTGCTCAGGGGATATTTTACTAATTCTACACAATTGAATATTTTCTGAATTCAGCTTGGTCAGTTTCACCAGTATCGAGATTTGTCTATTTGAATACATAAATATTGGTAGAAAGTGGCACCGAATACATATGTGCCACAGGAGTCACTCGATTTGTGTAAGGACTGGGATACTGCCTGGGTGCCCAAACTGAATCTAGTGGCTTTTTTAGGTGGCCACACCCGAAGCGTGACCCACAAGGTAGTGGAGCAACGTCAGGAGATGCAGTCTCATGGTAGCCGATGGCTACCAATGAGTTCATGCGCCATTTGACCCATCAGAATCCTGGAGCCCATATGGACCATTGATTTGGAATCAGGGTATTCCAACTCTAGGTGAACTCTTAGTGTTCACCAACCCGGCTAGTGCAGAACTCCTATGTCTGTGACTGCATACGCATGACCATGTAAAGCGATTTCGGAGGGAGAGCTGACTCCCCGCCCTCGAACGCACCAGGTATATAGAAAAGCTTCTGTACATCTTGACTTCAGTATCCACGTGCAACAAATCGTTGTCATCTTGTTTTTTAATTCTGAAACGATTGAATATTGTTCGGACTACCTGATTTTATGCTCTCTCCTTGATTTCAAAACCTATTTAACCAATCGACACAAGACTTCCTATTTAAGTTGAACTGCGAAACGTTTCACCTTGCAGCTTAGGAATGATGATGGTGCTAATTCCAGTAGGAAGAAAGTCTCGTCGAACTTCACAAACTGTTTCACTAGGATATAATTCCTTATTACCGCCGAAGTCCAAAATCAAAACATCCATATAATTTAAATCCAGTTAGAGAAAGTATGGTCAGGATTTTAGGTAATACCCAGGGATAAATATTCATCGTACGATAACCAGTCTCAAAATCAAAAAAACGTCGGTAGCGAGTTAAGTGCTGTAAGTTTGTTGATTTAGTTGTCGTTCGAAATATCCTATCGCCGTTAATGCTTCATTATAACTTACTGCTCCTACAAATAGACCGAACGTGCCAGAACAAATACTAAGTTAGTAATGAAAATTTTACTCTCCTGGGGTACATAAATATATAGATGTAGGAGCTATGTTGAGTCACAATAGGTAAATGTAATTATAATCAGAATAATATAGAAAACGCTTCTAGTTAATCTGAGTATAACCTAAACTAAACTACATTATATGCATTAATCACACGATATAGACACGTGAATAATCTCCAAGTGATTTTGTTAGACTAATGATCTCTAAAATAATTTGCTTCAAAATATATTGAATACTAAATACACCTGTAATGAAAAGAATGTTCGAACAATAAGCTTTTCGTATTGAAAAGTATAAACTACATTATAATACTTTACATCGATCGCAGTAGTATATCGGTTTTAACCGTCTTCCATTCAGAACGATATCATAATGAGGTGTATTAACATTGACAATAATCAACTTACTTTGAAGTAGATCTCTACTAGTCACACATTCCGGAATTCCTAGCCTTGCGTTACTTTAAAACATATAACTGTTATAATTAATATGTTGTATGATGATCGGGTAAGGTAGCCATTATAAAATTTAAATTTGGTCACTGGCAGCTGATCATGAAACCGGATTCTCCACCTAGCGAGAAACTATCAGCCTGTTATATTCCGATAAGTATAATGAATGGTAACTTTTTGGGATCCATTTATGGACAGGTACTAAACGTATCTTCTTATCGTATAATTGTTAACTAACTAAACTATTCATATTCATATCCGTCTTATTATTAGCTTTATCTTGACCTATGAACTATTATTACACGTTTTGCCGTTCTTGAATTATGTCCTGTCTATCAATTACTACCTCCCACATTCACAGCCACATTTGGCCAAATCTTGTATAAATGTTGTTTCCTATCTTATTGGTACGATGTGCTCTGGATGGTTGGTATATAAACCCAGTACGTTTGAAATAAATGATTCATATTGCAGAGGCTAAGATTGGTGTTCTGGACTCTAGACTGCTCGTACGGGTATTAGGCGTCAGTGGCTCGATCGATAATTCACTGCTACCTAATTGATGGTATCGTTACGTTATACATTAACAGAGCACATGAGCCACAAGTTATGACATAGCCATATTAAATTATTTCAGTTGTAATATATATTCAGTGGATTAAGTGACCCCATACTATAAAAGTTCAACAACAATCTAAATTATGTTGATCGATTCAGGACTGAAAAATGTTGACTAACCAAAATTCAGAGTTTACCTAATCTATTCACTGTGTATGATAAAAGAAAACTAACAATAGGGTAGGTACCAATCAAGATTCTTTACTCTTAATATCGAGGAAATATAGAAGAAGGCACACTAGTAATCATTTATTTTAACCAAAATAATAAGTAGGTACTGAACTATACAAATGGACACTTTTACAATATATGGATTTTAAAAGTTCCCATATTATGAATTGGAACAACAACAAGCGAACAACATTGTTTTCATCATCATCAGGCTTTAATCTAATATACAGTAATATTTATATGTATATACGAAATTATTAAACTAATCAATGCAGTTTATGAGTCAGTGATAACAGTAGGATAGATCACATAAGTAAAATACAAATTCATAGAGTTATGACAGATGTACTAGGGCTTGAATCCATGTTTCATAATGGGAAATAGGTCAATAACTTGAGAAATATAGACATTGAGATAGCATTCATAAAAACTAGAGGATTATTTAATAAGAAGTGTTCAGATAATTGAACAATGAAGTGTTTATTTGGATAAAATGATTCGGAGGGGATGAAGAGAAATAAACGAACAAAAGGTACGCAAAATAATTATTGAGATCATTTATTAGGGCTATATCGACCAAGGAAGAGATCAAGATGTTACAAATTCATTATGTTCCGATAAGCATTATGAATGGTAAGTTCTTGGGATCCATTTATGGACCAGTACTAAACGTATATTCTTATCGTATAATTGTTAACTAACTAAACTATTCATATTCATGTCCGTCTTATTATAAGCTTTATTTTGACCTATGAACTATTATTATACGATTTACCATTCTTGAATTATGCCGTCTATTAATCACTACCTCCCACATTCACAGCCACATTTGGCCAAATCTTGTATAAATGTTGTTTCTTATCTTATTGGTACGATGTGCTCTGGATGGTTGGTATATAAACCCAGTACGTTTGAAAAAAAATGATTCATATTGCAAAGGCTGAGATCGGTGTTCTGGACTTAACTGGTTGGGCTAGGCAAGAAGCAGGACCGATAAGGATTCTAGACTGCTCGTACTTGTTTTATGCGTCACTAGTTCGATCGATAATTCACTGCTCTAATTGGAGGCATCGTTATGTTATACATTAACAGGGTGCACAGGTCACAAGTTATAACACTTATGAATACAAATACTATGAATTTGTACTCTTTACTTATGTGATCTATTCCACTGTTATTACTGACTCATAAACTGCTTTGATTAGTTTAATAATTTCGTATATGCATATAAATGTTAAGGTATATTAGAGTAAAGCCTGACGAAGACCTAAGAGAATACATGTATTTATTTTAACATATAGGTATTGGTACAAGGAGGCACCAAATACATATGCGCCGCACGAATCTCAATTGATTTGTGTGAGGGCTGTGATACTGCCCGGGTGCCCAAACCGAAACAGGTGGATTTCTTAGGGGGTCACACCCCGATCAGAATACATGAATCCATGATTACCCATTTGTGTGTACAATGTACCTTCAACCAGTGGATTAAGAATCCGATTTGGGCAGCAGGTTAGTATCACTAGTTATCACTACAAAATATGACTCAGGAGTACATGAACATATACTGAGCAAATGAACCAAATATCTATACTATTTACATGTACATCAAGCTGTTCATTTTTCCTAATACTTCGCCTTAGTTGATTAGTTCAAGAGGAACAGAATTCAAAATAAATCTTATTGAAATAAATACAATAATGGGTAAAATGTCGTTGTTTTCTGAATTTTATTTTACAAATTAAAATGTTGAAAGACTAAAGATTCTGCAAGTTTGCTTCATGAAAGACTGTGGTTTGAAAAACAATAAACAAAGTTTCGTCACGATCTATTTTTCCACGTTATTCGTCACAATCACTAGGTTCTGAAGTTCCCATGATCCCTTTCGCTAGACGCCAAACTTTCGAAAGTGGACCAGGATATTGCGTTGAATCCATAAACCCGGCATTGATCAGTGTAGTTTCACAAGATTTAGATTCTACTGGTGAGGTCACAGAAACTAGTTCCCAACATTCTAAACTAACAGACGAGTCGTGTTCTTCGAGTTTATTGGATGACTGAACATAGTCGGAACTACTTGCTCTACATAAAGCAAACCTATTCACTTGTTTGTCACTTAAAGTTAAACTATCATCGTTTGATAAACCAAACATCTCATCCACTTCTTCGCCTTTCTCTACAAAACACGGCGAACTAAATGAAACTGTAGGATGACTCATTAAAGATAATGATGGAATCTTTCCAAAAAGCCCATCTAGTTTTATATTGTAACATTCGTCAAAGTATCTAAAAAGCAAAGAAAATCAATTAATAGACAAACCAAAAGGTATTCGAACAATCTGAAAAGTGACAAAATCGAAACATTACGTATTAAATGTATCCTGAAATGTTTTAGTAACATGAAAGTTTACTATTATTCAACTACTTAGTTTCAGGATATTTACGGTGGAAGCAATATAAAATAAATAAATAAGACCATTCATCAAACACTAATTACTTAATCCATAGATTAAGACACTATGAGTAAGAACGCTGGCTATTAACATAAAGGGATAGGGAAAACACATTTGAGAAATAATCCCACTTATATATAAACAAACTTTTTCTAATGTTACAACTGTCACTTCTACAATGCATGGGATTACAGATAGACAGAGGGTTATCGCTAAACAATTATTAAAAATAATGCACACATCCTACCAGATCGTTGGTTAACTGCGACATAGTGATTGAAGAATAAAAGTTATACGACGATATTTAGTATGTGGCATCGTTGTGAACAAACACTCAGGTAGGGACAACCAATTTATCACTTCATATATCTATCGACATAAGTAGCATACACCACAGCACCAACTAAATAGTCAGTGTATATCACTCATAGCTGTACGACAGATCGTAAAATCTAGGTTTAAATACTAAGGATTGAAACCGATAACTGAAAGGGCTAGGGTGTATTAATAATATCACAATAGTTTAATACTATTTCCCCCCCACGGTAGCTGCTACCTTGACGTGGTGGTCGGGCTTGCCTATCGTGATGACCCGACCGAGCTATATTGGCTGGAACACATGCTCCTGCAGGTTCTACCATGCCAGGCAGGTCGATTGGAGAACGGCAAGACTAAAAGCAGCAACTCAAGGTCTGAGGGCGAAGTCGTACTGCTGACTGTACAGAGGTGTGACAGCAGTAAGGTGTTTCCCTCGGACAACCAGCATCTGCTGCGATGCTGCCTTCTCACAAGGAAGGAAGGGGTTAGAAAAGGTTGACCCTAAAAATGTCACACCTCACCTTACCCCATGGATTTCCGTCTCCGGCGGTAAGGTCCTTTCAAGAACGGAGCTAACACAGTAAAAACCTCCCACAAAAAGGCCGTGCGCGACCGGCCTCAAGCAGTTGTCCCTTGGGCTCTGCGGTCACGCACCCGGGTCGCTAAGACCAACACTAATCCGATTTCCTTTTCAGGTCCCTCAAGAAATACCCTTCCACGGTGTGGGCAACCGAGAAGTGATATCAGCCCTCATACCCGTAACAGCACACGAGACCAAGTTGGTCACATTCAAATCCTCCCTACACCTCCTAATAACTCTCTTATCTCCACGACTAACTCTTCTTACGTCCCTTTATCAGCTCGCCCCGCCAGTGCGAACGATTCGAGTACGCGGAATGTTATTCCTGGTCTCCTGAAACCACGCTCCAAACTACACGTAGGAGCTTTCAACGTCCGAACACTGTGCCAAATAGGACAACAGGCTTTCTTAGCTAAGACTTTAGAATCTCGCTCCATCGATGTGTGCTGCGTCTCCGAAACGCGCACACAGGATCCTAGTAGTGTCATTCATCTGACCGCACCATGTCAAAGTAACGAACCAACTCAATTTACGCTTCGTGTATCTGGAAGCCGTTATGCTGATTCCCGTGGCCTCGCTGGCGTAGTTATAGCATTGCGTCCTAGGGCAGAACTAGCCCTCTTAGACTGGATCGCAGTAGACAGTCGTTTGTGTGCTGTCCAACTAAACGGAACAGTAAGGACTCGAAAAGATAGGGACACTCGTCGTTGCCTATTCGTCGTCTCTGCCTACTCTCCCACTGACTGCAGCTCAGATGATGTAAAAGATGAGACCCAACTGTTAGCGAAACAATCTCAGAGAAAGATGGACATATTATTCATTCTCAATCCAGGAGATTGAATCGATGGGCAGAACACATTAGGGATCAGTTCAACTGGCCTTCAGCCACACTTCGGTTTTCCACGACCTCCAGTCGACCTGAATGGCAAGTTGATGTAAGTCCTCCGACTCTTTACGAAGTTGAAGAAGCTATAGGAAATCTGAAGCGTGGGAGAGCAGCAGGCCCTGACAGGTTTACCCCTGAGATTTTTAAGGATGGCGGTCCAGTATTAGCAGCGAGATTGACTGAGGTCTTAGGTAGAATCTGGGAACTGGACGTAATCCCACCTGAATGGTCTCAATCACTGATTGTGACAGTCTAAGAAAGGACAAAAGTCCTCCTGTGACAATCACAGAGGAATTAGTTTGACTAATATAGTGTCTAAAATATTAGCTTCAATAATACTTCGACGTCTAACCAAAGCTCGTGAAGAGTAGACTAGAGAAAACCAGGCTGGTTTTCGACCTGGACGTGGTTGTATTGATCAAATATTCACATTACGTCAGGTCCTAGAACATAGACACACATTCAGACGCCCCACAATGGTAGTATTTCTCGACCTTAAGGCGGCATTTGACTCTGTTGATCGTGAGGTTCTATGGCAGTGTTTGTCACTGAAGGGAGTACCAAAGAAGTACATCAACCTTATAAAGGCTCTCTACTCGAACACAACTGGTCGAGTGAGAGCTTATGGTGAACTGTCATCAGAATTGATTACCTCAAGTGGTGTTCGTCAGGGCTGTCCACTCTCTCCATTCTTGTTTAACTTTGTTGTTGACGTGTTTTTAGAGATGACACTTTCCTCATCTAAATTTCCAGGAGTTGAACTTCTACCGGGAGATCCACTTGTTGACTTAGAATATGCCGATGACATAGTTCTATTTAGTGAAGACGCTGACAGAATGCAGAGTCTGCTGACCACTCTAAGCAACAATGCAAGCATGTTCGGCATGCGATTTTCTCCCTCGAAATGCAAAATGTTGCTTCAGGATTGGGTTACATCGACACCCGAACTAGTGATAGGGAGTGAAGTTGTTGAGCGTGTTGACCGCTTCACTTATCTGGGAAGTCTCATCAGCCCTTGTGGTCTGGTGTGTGACGAAATCTCAGCACGGATACAGAAGGTTCGACTAGCTTTTGCCAACTTGCGTCATTTGTGGCGTAGGCAAGATATCCGTCTATCAATCAAAGGACGAGTTTACTGCGCAGCAGTTCGTTCCGTCCTACTTTATGGCAGTGAAACATGGCCAGTAAGAGTAGAGGATATTCGTAGGTTACTAGTATTTGACCATAGGTGTCTTCGAAACATCGCTCGTATATCCTGGGACCACCGAGTAAGTAATGCAGTTGTTATGAAACGGGTACTAGGTAAGGATGGCAAATCAATTGAGGAAGTAGTGAAACTTAATCAGTTAAGATGGCTGGGACATGTGTTGCGTATGCCCGACCACCGACTGCCCCGACGTGCGATGTTTTATGGTGTAGGATTAGGTTGGGAGAAAGCTAGGGGCGGCCAGACCAAAACATGGCAGAAATTCATGAAGTCACTGACAAGTGGACTGAGTCATGTTGGTAGGTGTAGACTACCTGGTTGGGGACCGCGAGATGATAGCAACCGATGGTTAGAGACCTTGAATGACATGGCTCAAAATCGTTTGCAATGGCGCAGGTGCATCCACTCTTTGTGTTCTCTCAAACTCTAATCTTCTGAATTCTTTATGTCCTTTATTTTTCCTCTTTCCAAATATATTCCACTGGACTATACTCCTTTAATAACATCATCAAACCTTAATGTCCCCTATCTCTACTTATACTTTCAGTACCTCTACCACTATGGGATTTGAATCGATAACTGAATCTCTGTGCTAATGTGGTATGGCAACTCGAACTGATGTACGTACGTACGAAGTTCCACGTTGTTACTGACTGACTGACTGAATACTATTTCCCCTTACACAACTAGGTTGCCGTGATCCCTCTAGTTTCACTACCGAGAACATTATTTATCCCATAATTTTGGAGAGGTTTTGTTGAACCCAACTACGTTATCAAGTATGTATTATGGAAGATCAATATATACAAACCTAAGGGGTCTCCAAAGAAGGTTGACGGTGTTAAATAATGTTTATTAAACACTAATTATTGTACGAGCTCACAATCTCGTTTGTCAGATTTGTAGCCAATCTAGCCGACGATAGGCACAGTAACAATGATCTGTAAACCTACTAATTTAACGATAAAATTAGTTGAATAATGTTTATGCATAGAGCTTAGGTACAAAAATATTACCTAGTAGACTTATTATTGTGACTGACCAGATGCCCAAGGCAATATAATCCAAATAATGGATTGTAAAATGTGTGCCGTCCAGGAATTACGTTTATCCCAAGTTGTTCTAATCCATTTTTTATATCAATCCCTCGGCATTGGCATAACAGGTGAACAGCATGAATGACTGCGAAATACACACGACCCATATCATCCCTCTGAGGTAATGCAGACAAAAAAGAACCAACCAAATGCAAATTGCGGCGAATGGAGACCGGCAACCAAACATCTAACAAGATAGTTGAAACCCTTATTGCTACTGAGCAATATGTTAAAGCAGTATGACTGGATGGGGTGGGTTCAGGGCCTACAGTAAAGGTAATAAAAACTGAAGACAGTTTAAACTTTAAAGAGATGGTTAAAGGTTTATAGGAAATTTAGGAACACATGTTATTCACGTCAATCCATCAACGATATACAAAAGTATGAAGTTACAAAATAGCTAGAGTAGTTGAGTAAAGTGATAAAAGAGTACAATTGTACACAATTAAAATAGTATACCAGTTGAACAGTTCACCTGTGGTTCAAAAGATTTTCATCGCAAAATAGAACTGGTATGAAATGTGGAGATTCCAGATTGAGAATAAGAGTATTACAACAATATATGATACAGAAGACATTACAAGAGTAAATATCATCTAGAATTATACATTTCAAATCTACAGTGAATGTACAACAGCTTTGTATGACAATGATGTTGCTCGTCAACAAAAATACATCAATCGAAACTTCAGAGTGACACTAACCTGCAAAAATGTTCTCTTTATCGATATGTAGAGGTGAACAAACAAACCTATCCGGAGATAAACCATCAGTCTAAAAATGAAATAAACATAAATTTAGTACTGACATGCAAGCGTCTCTAACTAAATACAGTTACAAAGATGTAGCTAACATCTAAGTGAATGTTAAGACTAAATTATCATAAGCCGAATGATAACATACTGTCTAACTTAAATTGTATTCAGTAATATCATCTTATGACACATCATATAGTGTTAAGTCGCCTTAAGAGCACAAAATTTGACAAATAATTAAATGTAAGGAGTGGTAAACTAGACGCCAATAGGATTCGACCTGCACCAAGAAGAACCTAACAAGTTCCAAGTAGGACGAAACCAAGCTCCAGGGATTCCTGATGACTATCTCCAACCACCATCTTTTCTCAACATGGTGCAAGTGATGTCGAGTCACTCAGATTTGTGGCCACATTGTAACTTGGGCGACAGAATTCAACCTGCACTAAGAAGAACCTGAAACACATGACATCGACCACCACCCAGTGGTTAATCAATTGTAAAAACTAGACGTGCTTTTGGAGTTCATCCTTTTCTGTCAATACTTATTTATCCATAATATATTACTAGTCAACAGGAAAATGTCCACGAACTTGGTTTATAGTGGAATTTTGCAAAGGCTAGTAACATTAACCGGATTTTCAAACCAAACGAGATTAAAATAGAATTTGAACCCGTGACTAAGTAAATGGGAACCAAGCAGTAAACTCGCTAAGCTAGTGAACCTATGTAGATCCCTATTCAAGAGTCAGATTGTAGTTCATGCAAATGTAATGACATTAGACACTGCCCTGTATAAACATATTGAACTATAGCGTGTTTCGCTATCTATGAAAACAACGTAACTAAACTCACCGACAGGTCGGTCACGAAATAAACTCCAAGCAACTCTTCAAAATAAGTATCATGTACGTGCTTGATCTGCCTGTTTACTATATCAAGATCAGCTACCAATAACTTTTTTCTCTGTGCAACTGTGATAAAATGCCGAACCAAATTAGCTCGCTGCTTTAGAAGTTGCTGGGATGCGGTATGGCATCGTGTCATTGCTTGTCGAACACGTTGTAGCTTTTTGCGTTCTGAAATAACGCAAAGTATAATAAATACGACTTACTCTCTACGTTCATTTTAGTAAGAAACTCGATCGTATGTTCTAGAGAAGAAATCTGAGCATTCAATTCTTCAATTCTACCCTGCTTTAATATAAAAATATGCACAACGAGATCTTACAAAAGTGTGAAACACAGATTTGAACAGTATGGGTTCATATACTTTAATCCTAATCCACAAATAATTAAATCTGTAAACCTACTTTCTATTTAAGTCATTAACCGATTTACGGACTGCCACAATCCGATCAGAATTTTGAGGAAAGCTGTAAAGAATCTATTTCAAGTGGTTTTCTTACCTAAGTTTTCCGGATTTCTTCGAGAATATGGAATCCTTCCTAACACAATCACAGCAGACAAACGTTTCTTTAAATGATTCACATGTACGACACTGGAGATTTAAATGGAACTGAGGGCCACGGTCAAACGGAACATCGGCGCAGGGTGACTCTAATATCTGGAAATCAGCAAGAGTGACGTCCGCAACTGAGTCGTCAAGCATGTATTATATTCGACCAGTTGTTGATTAAAAAGTAAACCAATAAAAAGCCGACCAGCTGCTATGACTTTAAAAACACGTAACCCTCAGTCATCAAATAATTTGCTGACAACTCGTAGATGTATTGTAATCATGCAAATAAGAAAACATGCGTGAGCCTCGGTAATGGTGGTCCACTCGACTAACAATTGCTAAGATCTCTCTTTAAAAAGGATCTGGGAGAGAAACTTGAGGGGAGGAGATGTCTGGTGTTTTAAGAAGTGTTGTTGTTGAACTTACTAGTGCAACTTCAATTAACAATGCACAGCTCCCCGACCCTTGTAAATCAAAAATCGAAACCCAAGATAAGTAAAGTATGACTTCAAATGCGTTGCAAACATCTTTTGGAAGTTCGAAGATCAAACCTTCAAATGGTTGTAGAACGATAATAGAGGGAAACAGAAATTGGTAAATCATAATAAAATATTATTTGTAACCCTGAAGAATAGGTCAAGTTTCCTCTTACACGACTTCTGGGGAGTCGCTTTGACTAGCTCAGTCGGCGGCGAATCCCAGCATTTAAGAACTCTTAAGGAGCAGAAGTTGTGTTTACAGGCCGTTCTGCTGTGTTCTTACGCAACAAAAGTACCATTTCTGATCTAAAGAATCTATTCTGAGCTATACGTTCGGTAGATTACTTTTTGGGTTTCGCCCAATTTGATAGTTAACCGTGGTTTCTCCTCAGCTTACTATTCGGTTTTTTTTCAGTTTTTCACGTAAAGGCTAGTTCATTTTATCTCATCCATTTTTATACATTTTTTCCGTTTTAGTATGCCTTTTAGTGTATTTTTAACTGTCTTAAGCTTCAATACTATCTCTAACACCGTTTACGTCAATACAGTCATGAAAAATTCATGCAAACAACCAGGATGTCGTTTCGCTGTTACCTCTGGCATGCAGTGCGACAACTGCAAAGGTTGGTTCCATGAAGCGTGCACAGATCTTACAGAAAATGCTTACAAAAGACTCAGGAAGTCGGATCATAAGTGGGTGTGTGTTACATGCGGCACTAATGCTGTAGTTTTGCTGAGTAACACCATTGTTCTATTGACAGGTCTGCGGAATAAGTTGTCAGCAAACTTGGAAAAAGACAGCCATAAAACGGATAGACAAAAAAGGGCACGTACCGAAAACAAGAATAGAGATGTCGATAAGTCTACCATCGATGGAGCACGCATTAGCTCTAATGATAACATGTTGAAACTCAGCACCATCAATACGTCGACGGTAATTGATTCCCTCACTAAACTTGGATCTCCCAGTCCAGGGTCCTTAAACGCAAAAGTGGTTCACAAAAACTCTGCAGGCGACTGCACCCACGCCAACAGAGTTAAAAAGGAACATGTGTCACCGTCTAAGGTTAACATTCGAAGTGTTGTACGGAAATCAACTGGTGATTTGACCGCACAGTCTACCCCCAAAAATGTCCGCCAGGTCATCAAAAAGCCTAAGATTCAGAAACCTGCTTCGACCTCCAAACAACAGGGTGTTGAGCCTAAACGCACCGGAAAACCTGGGAAAAGAATAACAGTTCGTGATGATTCTCTCATAATCATGAACCTCAAAGACAACCCTGACCTTCCTCTCGGCTTGTAGAAAAAAATGACAGGTGATCTGGGGTGAATTGAACAAAAAGCTTCAAATTCCTAGAATAGAACCTTTGACGGTCACACGGCTCACTCGGGGAAAGGAATCTAAACATCAAAATTAATCGACGCTACACTTAAGAATGCTACCGAAGTAGAGGATGTCCTGCTAGCTGGTCATTTACTGAAATCCAATGGGAACGTCAGAATACTGTCTGAAATACCGTTTTCCGAGCACAATCTCATCCGGAACGTCCTTAAAGAATCACGTGAGAAGTTATTCCGCGGAAGAAATATAATTGTGCAAGGTGTACCGGAAAACACGGACCATAGTCAAGCAAACTTTGACATTCAAGAATGGAAATTCATCAAACAGTCCTTGAGGCTCAAAAACATACTGACTCAACATGTGATGAGACTAGCCAAGAAGGTCGGTGATCCTAGACCCCAACTAATGAGATTAACGTTTCCATCCTCCCATATGGCGGCTTCAGCTCTGGAAGCTCTTGAGCAACATGGATTTCGTGATAAGCTTTCATGCTTGACTAACTTACTTATTGCGAGAGAGGATTGGACAGCAGCCTTAGATAAAGGTCTGTCTGTCGATGTTATATTCATAGATTTTAGCAAAACATTTGACAAGGTTTCACACTTAGGTCTTATGCAGAAGCTCACAAGCTTCGGAATAATAGGTACTGTACAGGAGTGGCTAAGAAACTCCTTATGTGACCGCAGACAGACAGTGAGGGTCAATGGGACGCTATCCGATTGTAAGCCGGTTAAAAGTGGTGTACCCCAAGGCACCATACTAGGCCCTCTGCTCTTCCTTCTCTACGTAAATGAGTTAACGCTGTTGCTTAGGTCGTCGACATTATTATTTGCGGATGATGTCAAAATCTGGAGAGCCATAAGAGGTGAGGCTGATCATCTGGATCTTCAAGCTGACTTAGACGATTTAGTTAGATGGGCTCGAGATTGCGGTTTAGAAATCAATTCTAGGAAGAGTGTGCTAATGCATATCGGTCCAAGGCAATAGTTATAATTATACTATTGATGGTAAACCTCTTCCATGCGTTCAAGAACATAAAGACTTGGGAGTAATAATACGTCATGACCTAAAAACAAATACGCATTGCAACGCAGCCGCTGTCAAAGGTTTTCGTGCGTTGTGGTCACTTCGCCGAGCGTTCAAATCTCTTGACGAGGAAATGTTTCGAATTTTATATCCCACCTATGTAAGACCACATTTAGAGTACTGTATCCAAGCAGCTAGCCCATGTCTGATAAAGAATACTACCTCAATTGAGCGTGTCCAGTGTGTGGGAACGAAATTAATGAAGGGTCTTTCTAAACTCCCTTACGATGAGCGTTTAAACGCCTAAACCTTTTCCTCTTGTCGTATCGTAGGACTCGAGGTGATTTTATACTGGCATTTTGAATCTTTAATTATGATTTGGGTGTTAATATGTCTTATCTTTTTGCTCCCTCCAGCACTTATAATCTCCGAGGTCATAGCAAGAAGATTCATAAACCACGATCTAATAAACTCAAGGTGCTGTTCCGTTTTTCTCATCGAGTAGTCAATGATTGGAACGCTTTGCCCGAACAAGTGGTATTAGCCCCATCAGTGAATGTTTTCAAAGAGAAACTGGACCTTCACTAGAAGGCAACCTGTCAGGATTAACACAGGTTCATTAACCTACTATCCTTATTACTGAAGACTGAAGACTGATTTAAACTGCGGTCATTCTTTCTTTCCTTATGCAACTTTCAATGTTGCTCTGATAAATAAAACTTCAGTTTCAGTTATAAAAAAATGCTCTTTGGGATTCCTTACTGCACACGCTCTTATGTGCTACAAAACATTCTGTTACGCAAATGGTCCCCAAAATCTACAAGCAACTCACGTTCATTGAAAATCGCACTCTTGCTAAGCCGCAAAAGGCGCTGTTGGGCAGAATACAAACGAACTAATAACAACAGCGCGTACAGGCAATACAAACATATAGGAAACATATGCACGAAGGCTATAAGAGAATACAGGCATCAGTATCAGATAAAACTTACCGACAAATTTGTCTCCAGTCCGTTACGCAGCCTCTCTTCGACAAGCCAAAACACGAGTATTTCAACTGCTAGGTCTTGATAGCCCGATCAATAACGACGGTGACGCCGCTAAACTTTTGGCTGGACAATACTCTCGGACATTTCAACCGACCCACATCAACTGTGCTGATGAGAGCTTCATCTGCAACTGCACAGGAATTTCCGTAGTGAGCGTGAGCGCTGAATTAATATTCCGAAAACTGCATGACCTAAGAACAGACCCTGCTATACTGAGGGAAGCAGCTTCGATGCTGGCAACATCGCTTAGCGTGATGTTCTCACACTATCTAAACCAAGGCAAACTACCGGAAAATTGGAAGCTGACTCATATCACACCAATATTCAAAGGAGGTCGACACAGCGAACCTTCAAGTTACTGACTGGTGGCTCTTCTCTATATACCTTCGAAAATCATGGAGTCCCTGATATGCGATGGTATACATGACTATTTACTGTCCTTAAATTTCTCTCACCCATCACTACAGATCGTGGACGCCTGTTAAAATCTGGACTTTTCCGTTGTCTGACCGCACTATTAGGAAACACACGATTGTCTATTGAGCAAGGGTGTGCCTGAGAAGTTTATTAACATCCTAAAAGCCCTATACACAAACACCTCAGGCAGAGTGAGGGCATACAACCACCGTTCTCCATTATTCCATTCAAGCAGTGGGGTTAGACAGGGTTGCCCAATCTCACCATTCCTCTTCAACTTTGCCATCGATGACATTCTGGAAACAGATCTGATGGATGTAAGTAATGGTGGTGTGGATCTGTTGCCTGGAGAAAGACTTCTCGACCTTGAGTATGCGGATGATATTGTCTTACTGTGAGAGAATGTTCAAGTCATGCAATCCGCACTTAATCAGTTGGCAATCAGTATCCGTAGGTATGGTATGTGCTTTGCACCTTCGAAGTGCAAAGTACTTCTACAAGACTAGCCATCTTTGGCACCTTCGTGATGTTAGTCTGGCTGTAAAAGGTCGGATCTACAACGCGACGGTCAGAGCAGTTTTGCTCTATGCTTGTGAAACCTGGCCTCTCCGAGTTGAGGATGTTAGACAACTCTCTGTGTTCGATCATCGTTGTCTCCGAAGGATTGCTGACATCCAGTGGCAACACCATGTTAGTAATGCAGAGGTTCGGCATCGTGTGTTCGGGCACAGAGACGATAACCCAATTCGTGTTACCATCCTGAAACATCAACTACCATGGCTTGGACGTGTTCTTCGGCTGCCCTTCAACTATCACTACATACCATCGACGCCAATTCGGATCGGGACTTTTCCGTAGCCTGACTACACTATTAGAAATCACACGATTCTGAACGACTGCCTATCACTCACAAGCAAATGGTTTGGTAGGACGCTTTCACCGGCAGCTAAAGGCTTCCCTATCAACTGCGAACCCTTCACAGTGGATGGCCGCCCTTCCACTCGTCTTACTTGGTACTCGCAATGCGGTGAAACCTGACATTCGATACACTGCATCTCAACTCGTTTATGGAACGACACTTCGATTTCCAGAAGAATTCGTGGATCCTTTAACTTATTCAATGAATGTGGATTTGAACTCTTACTCGAGCAGGCTTACGGACGCAATGCGTTCAGTTAAACCTGTTTCCATTCGACCGCAGTCAAATGATGT